CCCCAAAACCCCAAAACCCCAAAACCCCAAAACCCCAAAACCCCTTTCCTAGTATTCAATATTGATTTAAAAATGTGTCCTATTGTTTCTCACCAATCGCTTTGGATTTTTTCTCTTTGAGTTTCAGCTCTTGATCAGTGTATCTGTAATGCATTTTTATGTATTCTACTGGGCAACCTCAACTTAGACCATGGGAAATTCAATAGTTTTTGTTACAACTGTTTCACTTCAAGAAGGTGGCATAACAAAGATTAATTCAGAAATTTCATTCATATTTAGTCTCATCGTCTTGGGTTGAGGAGCAAATTGGGATCTCAGATTCATCAGGATCGATGAAATGTTTCTCGTATTCCTTCCTGATCTTCCTTCGAGCAGAGAGTTCATACCGGACCTCTTTTGAGACGTACTTTGGCAACTTGTAGTCTGTCTCAAGAATCAGCCATTGCATTGGGATGACTGGAACTTTTTCCCGAGATTTGAAGTAGATCTTCATTGCTTTCTCTGCGTAAGGCAGCCATGTTGGAGATGCAAAGTTCACCGCCTCAGCAGCGTTGAAACCTAGGGAAAACCCAGCGTGATAGCTGGATGGGAAAGTGAGGATAAATTCTCCGGGCTTCTGATGAGTGTATGTAACAGGGACACCATTCTTAGTTAAATAGTCTGGAGAAATCATGGAGTTGATGTTCAGTAGGAAATTGGGATCTTCTTTAAGTAGTTCTTTAAACTTTTTATGAGCGACTTTTTCGAACTTCTCTCTGTGTTGAGGAGAGATAGAGTACCATATTTTTCCGGCTCCTTGATGCATATAATTAAGTGAGTACATCATTAAATCCTCATAATGCCAGCAAAATGAAGAATAGAGCATGCCAATGTAAAACCAGGGTACATTGATGCCAGAAATATCTTTCCCTTTGCAAAAAGCTAGGAGGGACTTCTCTTGGTCGTTGATATTCATGAAATTGAAGGGGTGTTTTCCATACTCTTCGTCTTGCTCAGGAGTTGGGAACCCACTTCCGTATTTATTTACAGGCAGATCAGCTGCATAATTGAATCTGAATACTTTCTGACCGTCTTCATACTTGATAATATCACCTGAGGGCTCAGCTTGGTCAAAAAGCTTGCTTGAATGGTTTTCAACTAGGTTCCAGTAATCTTTCTGAATTTCCATATTTCTTTCTTTCTCAGACAAATTTTGGAGGCTTATAAAATATTTTTCTTCAAGGGCCTGAGATTTGGTTTTGAAGTCTTCATATGTCTCTCCTTCTTTATTGTACGTAAACTCCTATTTTAATTAGTTTTCACTAAGCCTACTTTGCCTTTGGATAAATTTTGGACTGTCTGACTTCTAAATGGCATCTTTTGATGAGATTTAGAGTTAAAACTAAACGGTGGCTTGAAAGAACTAGGTGGGATTATCTTTATACACCCATGTTTCCAAGCGCCCTCCTTGAACAACTTCTCGAAGTAGATGATTGGCTGCCTGAATTCTTCCTCAGTTGGGTAGTAACATGCCATTTCTTGAACTTTGGAGAAGTCTCTGTCAATGTGGGCACTTTTCTCTTCTTCACTCGAATTGTGGTGACATAATACTGTATTACTTTGAGGCTTCACTTTCTCGATGATGAACTCCCTGCTTAAGTCAGGCTTGTGGATTAGATGCTCCAACTCTTCCAAAAACTTGCTTTGATTTTTATATTCTCTTCTCTACAATACTATGAGAGGAAGAGGAAAGAAGTTGCTTACCTTTCTCGTTCCAGCAGGGTCTATCGAGTCAATTGTAGGTTTACTGTGCAAGCTCCAGTTATCTGATTGCTTATCAAAGCTCTGTTTTGCCTTTCGCTTTCTGCCTGAACTCGTATGATCAGAGGTGGTCGAGCTAGCTCAGAAGAGCCTCTCTGGGAACTTTGCTAATATTTGTGGCTTCATATTGTAATTAGTCGCCTTTTTGATTATCATATTTTATTATTAAATCATGGTTCAGAGAAAATCATTTATAGTGCAAACTCAATCAGCCGAGGTGAGTTCGGGGTTTTGGGGTTTTGGGGTTTTGGGGTTTTGGGG